GGTGAGAAATGAAGTGGACTCACGTGTCGTGGTTTCTACAGCCGACGCCATCTCCTTCGCCGTGGTAACTGCAGCTTCTGAAGAAGGTGAAAATCACATGCATCCGAATTAGAAATCGACAAATGCATCATTTTATGTAAGGAGGTTGACTTGACCTCCAGGATATCGTCACGCCTCTCTGCGTATACTCGTTCACGTGAGATGTCTGGAGCGTGTTCAGTCTTCCTCTGTGGGTGGGTGGTTGGGTGGGTGTATACAGTGTTACTGTCACTTGTTGAAAATCACATCATTCCCGTGGTTAATGATTTCCACTTCGACTGTGTATTCACGTATATTCGTCTAATGCCTAGTCTCTCTCAGTAAACGCCTCCATTTCTTTCATTCGGCCAACAATCAATCAGTTGACATTTGCTCCATCATCACATCGTGTTAGAACTCTACCGAATAGAATGGTGGTATTCTCAAACACCTTGATTCCTTCCCTCTCATCTGTCATCCTCAAGCCGAAATAATCGCTTCCATCCACATTCAGAATACACCTCTTCTCCTTCGTCAAGCCTTGCACACAGATGTACGACGAGAACATGTGTGATGTGACTATCGAACTGCGATCAACTTGCAGATTGCATACTGACTGCATCGCCCAGTTCACAAATCACAGATGTCACTACTCACCAGTTCAGTCTCACGAGTAGTGACACATTGCAGACAAATGACGCCATCTCTCTCCCGCTCTCTCTCTCTCCGTTTCTCTCGCTTTATCCAACTCTATCTGTATCTCTGACTTTTTCAGTTATTGGTGAGAAATGAAGTGGACTCACGTGTCGTGGTTTCTACAGCCGACGCCATCTCCTTCGCCGTGGTAACTGCAGCTTCTGAAGAAGGTGAAAATCACATGCATCCGAATTAGAAATCGACAAATGCATCATTTTATGTAAGGAGGTTGACTTGACCTCCAGGATATCGTCACGTCGCTCTGCGTATACTCGTTCACGTGAGATGTCTGGAGCGTGTTCAGTCTTCCTGTGTCGGTGGGTGGGTGGTTGGGTGGGTGTATACAGTGTTACTGTCACCTGTTGAAAATCACATCATTCCCGTGGTTAATGATTTCCACTTCGACTGTGTATTCACGTATATTCGTCTAATGCCTAGTCTCTCTCAGTAAACGCCTCCATTTCTTTCATTCGGCCAACAATCAATCAGTTGACATTTGCTCCATCATCACATCGTGTTAGAACTCTACCGAATAGAATGGTGGTATTCTCAAACACCTTGATTCCCTCCCTCTCATCTGTCATCCTCAAGCCGAAATAATCGCTTCCACCCACATTCAGAATACATCTCTACTCCTTCGTCAAGCCTTGCACACAGATGTACGACGAGAACATGTGTGATGTGACTATCGGAACTGCGATCAACTTACAGATTGCATACTGACTGCATCGCCCAGTTCACAAATCACAGATGTCACTACTCACCAGTTCAGTCTCACGAGTAGTGACACATTGCAGACAAATGACGCCATCTCTCTCCCGCTCTCTCTCTCTCCGTTTCTCTCGCTTTATCCAACTCTATCTGTATCTCTGACTTTTTCAGTTATTGGTGAGAAATGAAGTGGACTCACGTGTCGTGGTTTCTACAGCCGACGCCATCTCCTTCGCCGTGGTAACTGCAGCTTCTGAAGAAGGTGAAAATCACATGCATCCGAATTAGAAATCGACAAATGCATCATTTTATGTAAGGAGGTTGACTTGACCTCCAGGATATCGTCACGTCGCTCTGCGTATGCCTGTTCACGTGAGATGTCTGGAGCGTGTTCAGTCTTCCTCTGTGGGTGGGTGGTTGGGTGGGTGTATACAGTGTTACTGTCACTTGTTGAAAATCACATCATTCCCGTGGTTAATGATTTCCACTTCGACTGTGTATTCACGTATATTCGTCTAATGCCTAGTCTCTCTCAGTAAACGCCTCCATTTCTTTCATTCGGCCAACAATCAATCAGTTGACATTTGCTCCATCATCACATCGTGTTAGAACTCTACCGAATAGAATGGTGGTATTCTCAAACACCTTGATTCCCTCCCTCTCATCTGTCATCCTCAAGCCGAAATAATCGCTTCCACCCACATTCAGAATACATCTCTACTCCTTCGTCAAGCCTTGCACACAGATGTACGACGAGAACATGTGTGATGTGACTATCGGAACTGCGATCAACTTACAGATTGCATACTGACTGCATCGCCCAGTTCACAAATCACAGATGTCACTACTCACCAGTTCAGTCTCACGAGTAGTGACACATTGCAGACAAATGACGCCATCTCTCTCCCTCTCTCTCTCTCTCCCTTTCTCTCGCTTTATCCAACTCTATCTGTATCTCTGACTTTTTCAGTTATTGGTGAGAAATGAAGTGGACTCACGTGTCGTGGTTTCTACAGCCGACGCCATCTCCTTCGCCGTGGTAACTGCAGCTTCTGAAGAAGGTGAAAATCACATGCATCCGAATTAGAAATCGACAAATGCATCATTTTATGTAAGGAGGTTGACTTGACCTCCAGGATATCGTCACGTCGCTCTGCGTATACTCGTTCACGTGAGATGTCTGGAGCGTGTTCAGTCTTCCTGTGTCGGTGGGTGGGTGGTTGGCTGGGTGTATACAGTGTTACTGTCACTTGTTGAAAATCACATCATTCCCGTGGTTAATGATTTCCACTTCGACTGTGTATTCACGTATATTCGTCTAATGCCTAGTCTCTCTCAGTAAACGCCTCCATTTCTTTCATTCGGCCAACAATCAATCAGTTGACATTTGCTCCATCATCACATCGTGTTAGAACTCTACCGAATAGAATGGTGGTATTCTCAAACACCTTGATTCCTTCCCTCTCATCTGTCATCCTCAAGCCGAAATAATCGCTTCCACCCACATTCAGAATACATCTCTACTCCTTCGTCAAGCCTTGCACACAGATGTACGACGAGAACCTGTATTATATGTCTGTGCGTTCAACATTCACTTTTCACCCTCCACACTCTTTATTGCATATTTTTCAGGGATCTCATTTGTAACTTCATGCTTTTACATTAATTATTGTGGTTTTTGCTGCGTTGCAGACATATGATGCCATCTTTCTCTCCCTCTCTCTCTCGATTCCTTAGTCAGCTATGAATTGAACTCACGTGTCGTGGTTTTTTCAGCTGACGGTATCTCCCCTTCGTTGGTATCTGGATCTTCTGAAGATAGTTTAAATCGAATGCATATGAATGAGTAATCGACAAGGCATCAATTCGAGTAACAATTTTCACTTCTTATCTACGTCTCCCTCGCCTCTTTCTGTGTACACTCGTTCATGTCACATCTTTTGAGCGCGTTTATTCTTCATAAGTGAGTGTGTGTATAGACGTTTACTGTGTCTTGTGGAATGTCAAATCATTCTGATGGTTAATTATATCCACTTCGACTGTGTATTCACGAATATTCTTGTATTATCTAGGCTCAGATAAAGCCTCTATTACTTCTATTGAGTTTACAGTCATTTTACAATCGCCTGATCAATACATCCTTGATGAAATCTATTATAACATTAGTAGTAATAGTGTATTTACACTGTCACTATCCGAGTTTTTGAGACAATTATATTATAAATTGTTCACTCATTATTTTGTGATTGGAACCGAATTCCTTCGATCATGTTAAAATGGCGTAGAATTTTCCTCATTTATGCAGAATGTTGTAGTTAGACCATGAAGCAGGAATAACATCTATGTGAAAGTCTTCCGTTTGTTTCGTGCAGTCAGTTCATGGTTTACATTCTGAACTCACCAATGTTTATTTCTTCTTCTTCCTCTTCCTCTTCTTCTCCTGGACTTTCATGTTGTTCCTGACTTCCTGCAAAAAGTGTTTCCTGGTTAAATCTATACATGTTACTATTTCTACTTATGTAGACAACATTTCATTTTCAATCATTTCCACTCTCTCTCTCTTTTATCTGATCCCTGATATCCTTGTTTGCTACTGACATGATTAAGTATGTAGGGTGTCTCCTGCAAGATACTGAGTATTTCATCATTGAGTTTATTGGCGAAGAGGAGGAATGAAATGAATTTTGTTTAACGATATAGAGATTCTGAATGAAGGGCTAGAGAAGCAGAAACACTGTACGAAGGACATATGGAGATTTCAAACTAACGTGTGTGTATTTCTCTGTTGTCGTGGATCATCTATACAATAAACAGTTGTGCCAAAAAAGGTAGTGTGTTTTGGGTTTTTATTATGCTGAACTTAGCTACGCTTATTTCTTCAGGTCCTTGCCACTCAAGTTCTACCTGGCTTTCTGAATATAATTATTTCTCCCTCAATAAATGCTTATTTACATAAACGTATGCTTTCTTTGGCTAATTCACTACTGTATTGTATTTTAGCTTCAATAGTCCAGAAACTGCTTTCCATCATTTTCAGTTTCTTACAGAACTTCGGTTTCATTGTATCAGTTCAAAAATCAGTGGGGTTTATTTCTTCTGTATTGACATCGTCGCTAAATCTTCCTGATCCCGAAATATATGTCACGTATTCTGAACAGTCAATTTATTGTTCTGACTTGTCTCTGGTCTCAGGAGGACGAGTGTTTTGACAGTGGCAGGAGAAACACTAACGTTCGTCTACAGCTCAACTCGTGTAGTCGGTATCATAATCAGAGTGCATGGAGAACAAGATATTTAGACGCTGAAATACCTCTTTGTATTTTTACTTGCTTCAGTGTATTTCTTACAGTTTATTTCCGTTATTTTCATTATAACTACCCTTATTTATCTCTCACGGAATTAAATTCATTTAAAGGATCAAAAATAAATAGGAACTAGATGTAGAGTGGACGATGCCAGAAATAAGAGGAAACACTTGCCTCAAACCCACCAATACTATCCTGAATAAAATATGGAGAATATACTTGCATACAATCCCTTAACAAGTGAGATGAGGGAAAGTTTAAGGAACTCACCTGACAACGCCGAATCGGCTTCTTCCTCATCGATTATCGCAGCCTGTGGGGATTCTGAAAAAGAAAGCAGTGTGGCAAGTGTAGTGAATGAGTCGGCAGCGTGTCAATCAATATACACTACACTCTTCCTCATCGTGACAACGGAGACGACGACAGGTGAATGAATGTCAATCCTGGCTGACATTTGTTGATGGCGATTTCGGCCGAGATGTGAGGTGTTGGCGAGTGATGATTCAGTGAGTATGATCGCCCACTCACATTTCATACAACAAACACGTACACTCGGAGAGATTTTGCATGTCGTGATCGCTGTTACTTACATTGATCGCCAACTCACACTGGTGTCTCATCACTGCTAACGTCACTCCACGCATCAAATTCTGTCTCTCACGAACATCATCGAATTGCACGATGTCATTGTGAATGAAGTCTGTGCAAGTCTGTCGACTTCAGTCATCTGCGCACACACAAACACACACAGACAAAGAGTCGTCTTCCTCACAGGCGTCATCGTTGTCGTTGTCGTCGTCGAGGTCGTCGCATACACGATTCACATGGTAAGGCGGACCTCACGACAGTCGGATGACCCTCAACTACTTCAATCCATGAGGGCCACAACCAATGAGTCACATGTCTTCCCACCTCATCCAATCAACATATGTGCGTGTGTGTGCGTGTGCCATTGTGGATTTCACTCTGACACTTTGAAGGCGTGCATGACACCAGTGATTGTGAGTGTTGTCTGTAGTCAAGTGGTGTGCGCATTTCAGGGGTGATACTGGCTGTAGTACTGTGTGTTCGTGCATGAATGTGTCTGTGTGTGTGTTCGTTTGTTTCTTTGTGAGTGGACAGTGGCCGGTGTTATGCACGGAATCGAGTGTGAGTGTGAGTGTGTGTGTGTGAGATATACTCACCTGACGACGCCGGTACGATTTCCTCCGCCTCGATTATCGCAGCCTGTGGGGATTCTGAAAAAGAAAGCAGTGTGGCAAGTGTAGTGAGTGAGTCGGCGGCGTGTCAATCAATATACACTACACTCTTCCTCATCGTGACAACAGAGATGACGACAGGTGAATGAATGTCAAGCCTGTCTGACATTTGTTGATGGCGATTTCGGCTGAGATGTGAAGTGTTGGCGAGTGGTGATTCAGTTAGTGCGATCATCCACTTACATATGATACAGCGAAACAAGTACTCTTGGAGAGATTTTGCATGTCGCGGTCGGTGTTACTTGTGATATTCTGCTAACACCCCATTTAAAGCTACTTCTTTTTGCATTTTGCCACTCTTTTCATTATTCTGTGTTATTTTATTTGTTGTTCTTTCTTTCCTTGTCAAAATTTTTGACTAATTTTGTTCAGGTTTTCTCTTCAACTGATGAAAACTGGTAGTGAGTCCTGTAACCAATCACATACCTGTAAAGTAACACTTATTCGCTTTTCTATATGTTACCTTAATTAAAGTTTCCATTTTTACTGATTCTGTCCCTCTCTCTACATTTCGTTTCTCAGTGGTAGTCGTTACAGTCGATTTCATTTCAGAATAATGCTCACCATTTTAACAGGAGTGTATTGATTATGTACATCTGAGGGGAAATCATTCTTCTATACTGTACTCACCGAAATTACGCCTCATGCACACTAACTAACTATATCATAGCTAATGTTATAATTGAAATGATTTTAGGCTTCAGATACAATTTTACTAATTATTTAAATACTTACCTAAAGTCGGTAGAGAGAATCTTCCGTCATGCAAAGCTGCGAGAATGATGACAACGTCCTTCGAATTTCTGGTTTTCCTAGATGCCGTACTTTCGATAGGAAGAATGGTCATTTCGAGAGGTTGATCAGTTAGTCCTTCGAACATGATCATACTATCTTCAGAATGGCATGGAGAACCTTGCAACGTCCATTTCACCAATTGATTTTTGTTTGACGCAGGTTCGAATTCAACTTTCTCAATTCTCGGAACTGAAAATGGGGGGAAAATTGTGAACATTCACAAGGCGATAGGGTACAAGGTGGAGATTAGTATTACCATTAGTGATTGAAGCAGAACAGGAAAAGAAAGTGTCGATGAATCACAACGCTTTTACCACTTCCAATGTGTCTAAATATCAGCTGGGACTGTAGGCTTTCTAGAGTCGATAATTTTCGGACATCTGTTTCACTTGTGCCAAAACAAGTTTCATCCTGTTGTCTTTTGTTCAGTGTCCCCATAATTTTATTCGGAAGAAGAATAACTACGGTGAACAATGGTTTTCAATGAACTCTCCTTCAGGATATTCAATGATAAATCCACTCATTTTAGCAGACAATACTGCCAGTAATGCGTGATTGGAATAATCCAGAAAATGTATTGAGTGGAACAAGCACAATACGGATTGATAGTAGTGGTCGGTGAGTCCTGATTACCATTTAGAATACGTGCGGTCGATAGGCCATGAGTTCAGGATTCACATGAGATAGAATGAGATGAAGTAATTCAGTGATGTGAGTATCTACATAGCCAACGAACCTGCAGTCCTCGAAGGTGATTGTAGTCAGCGATGTGTGATATAATATGAACACAACAGGCAAAGAGATCAACAAATGCGATAAACTAGACAATAATAATGATGATGAAAAAATAACGATGGGCTGGTGTCAACTCAGACGTCTTGTCAGCACACGTTTATCAGACGATACCTGAATTTAATCAAGTGGAATGAACACTATTGTGTAAATATAATATCAAGTTTGAAAAGCATTGCGTAAACCTAAGTTGATACACCTAATAAGGTCGTTAGGTAGTAGAAGGTCTAAAATAGACGTCTGTAAATGAAAGAAAGAGAAAAGTGTGGGACAGGAATCGAAAATGCCAATGTTTTCGGATGATTTGTTGATCTTACTGTCAGCCATGGTAAACACAGCGGTAGGACATGCTTCCTCGGTATACAGCCATTGGGTCTTCTAGTACTGATTACTAACACTCCAGCTACTGATGGGAGATGTAGTGGAGCTCATCTAGATAGATTTCCGAGAAGGCGTGGATGACCGAGGACGTCTTTCCTGAAATTTCAGTATATACTGGTTGCGTATAGGATCCAATATCTACTCATTTGATTTCCACTTTATTCACTCATCCAGGTAAATATTTTACTATTTCGTATCAACTATAGACTGTTGTATGTTCACGAATGTTCGAAGCACAAAATCTACTCACCTCGTTTGTAATTGAGACTCCTCTTCGCCGCCTCATAGTAACGAAATACGCCTGACGACTTTGCAAGTATATTATAAGTTTCAGCTACGCATGATCCCCCAATTACATTGAATTCTGATATATCAACCAAGGGGAGATCCAAAGTATCATCAAAGGCCCAGTGTATTACTCGTTCCAAAGTCAGCTTTGAAATGCCTTTTTCATCGAATCGATTCCATCCGAATACTAGGGAGTCTGTCTTTTCTTGAAGAAGCCAGAATGCTCTACGTCTTCCTGAAACAAACAATTTCACAAGGAAGTGTTAGTGAAGATCGAGAATTAAAACTTTGGAGTAGGATGCTGTCTTCACTGTTGTTAGAATTATTCAGATCTATTAGCCTAAAATACAGTTATGATGATTTCAACAGCTAATTAATCTACAATTGAAATGATGGCAACAAGGAGGCAGAAACTTTCACAGGCTTCCATAGCTACTGGAACCTGGTAGTGAAATTTTATTCAGCTCTGCATCATTTAAAAATACCCATTGAGTCATATTAAGGAAAAGGCGTTCAGTGAAGCGGAAATATTTTCGAACATATTGTTCTCAAGCTGAACGATCGCATATGTACGCTGAATGTTCTAAGCAACGAAAGGGATACTTGCCAAGATGTGTCATTTGAACTGTAGATTTCAGATAACCAGTTAGGCAATGTAGAAAGCGTTAATTGGATGGAAACTGGAATGAAATAAAATAAGTAGATTGAGTGACTCAGTATTACTGAACGGTTTGAGTATCATTAAAGCGGAACTGAACGAGAGTCAAATGAACAACACTAGCAATAAGATGTAGAAATGTATTTCAAGGTGTTGGAAGAAAGCAATACAATTAAATGGCGAAAAAAAACACATGATTTACTTGTCCGGTGCTGAGATGGATCAGGTCTATCGTAGATTTAATAACTGAACAAACTTCTTTCGCTTGCAGAGTTCAGGATATAACATGTGAGTCACGACTGTCTTTGGGGTTAGAACGAGTTTGATTCGCATTCTTTTAGTAAGATTCCCACGTACTGTGTTAGTAAATTTGAAGTAATTTTGTGGGTTCGATTAGTGTCCAGATTATGGAAAGCGTCCCGAGATAGAGGTGTGGTGGAGTAGAACTTTTTTATTCCTTATGACTGACTGGTTTCAACATAGAACTTTGCACGGATGTGCAGCAGTTCGAGTCGCCACACTTCACTCAGCGCACGAAGCAAGAGAATAAAGTTAAAAGAAATGCAAAATAGAGACGGTAAACAGAGATATGAGGCAAGGCGAATCGTAGTATGGAAGATCCATATAATTTATTGAGAATTATAAGTCACAAGGATTGGATGCACCTGTGCCATTTATAATGATTTTGAGCCATATCACCGATTGTCTCCAGCCATTAGTGTTTACCGTTCCGAGGACCCCAACTAGGAAGTCTACACTTTCCTACGTCGCTAGCTTAAACTAACTGTTCTGGATTTCATTGACTGATGCCGTGTTTTGGTTTGACCACCACTGGCTCTTTTCTAATCTGACCCTATATCAGCTAACATTGGCCATTGTCGAGGAAGGCAATGATTAGGCATGCGTAACAAATGTCTTAACCATCTCTGTCAATGTAACTTCACAGCCTCGTCTACTGATTTCCCCTTCCACCTATCTAGCACTCGACGCCTAACCTCAATATTGCTCACCTTATAATACCACTTCACACGGTATATAGAACGCAAACACCTATGGTCGAAGACGGCTAATCTTATCATGTCTTCCGCTCTCAATGGCCAGGTCTCACAGCAATAAAGCAGGACTGAGTGGACTGCTGAGCAGTACACACGCCCTTTGGTCGATAGTCGGATATCACGTCAACTCAAGAGATGGCGAAGGTTGTCATATGCTACACGAGCAATCAGTATCCATGCTGGGATTTTGTGAGCTGTTAACCTTTTGGGGCTGATTCGACTTCCCACAAAGGTGAAGCGGTCAACATGCTCAGCCGCGACATCACACCTGTGTATCTTTAAGCTAGGAATCAATGTAATCCAGTCCTGCAGCATCATCTTACATTTGGCGGAATTTAATCGCATGCCAAACATTCCCAGACTGCAGCTCAAGGTGTTCAGAAGACTGTGCACTTTGTCAGTGTCTTCACCTAGAAGGAATATATCATCTGCATATTATAAGTCAACGAGATTATTCCCTGGTAACAAGTCAATTACTGAGTCGCTGAAGTGATTTAGGGTGAAGTCCATTAGTACGTCTATGGTGAAATTGAAATGAAATTGATGCAGTGAAATTCAGTTAAACCGAATTGAATCCCTTATAACATCATGAAGGTAAGTGCTCGATGCTATGTTTGGATAGTGAACTCTGGGTACGGCCGACATTTCTATCTCCACACGAGCAGGTGAATTGGTGGACGCATATTACAATCCAAACTTGACTGTGCTTCAATTTCACTTCAATTCCATTCAACCCTTTCAATTGTATTACGTCACTCAATCTACTTATTTTATTTCATTTCAGTTTCTACCCATTTAACACTTTTTACATTGTCTAACTGGTTATCTGAAATTAACAATTTTCTTAACACATCTTGGCAAATATGCCTTTCGTTGCTAAGAACATTCAGCGTATATATGCGATCGTTCAGCTTGAGAACAACATGTTCAATATTTTTCCGACCTTTTTTTTTACCATTAAACACACTCAGTTTGAAAGCGAACCACTTTCTGGAAACAGCACAGTTCTGTCAAAAATATCATTGAAATCAAACACAAAATAAAAGAAGCTGCTGTCGACATTCATTTAGCCAGATTTGTCAATCCATTCTCACATAATTATAAATTTAACTGTCGATTCTCAAGTGGTAAGTACTCACCTTTGTAAGAAGCATACTCAGGCAGCACAGTACTGCTGTGGATTATGATGCAATGTATTGTGTTATTTGACATTTAGAGAAATCAGTTCGCACCAGAATCTGAAGTGAACATGATGTTTACCAAGTCTGGCAATACAACCTGTTAACAAGTGCATTTCTGTGATCCGCTGTGTTTTGAGTGGAACATACAGCTTGAAGCTGGAGCTATGAAGATTCAGTAGCAGTGGTATACTTAACTGCTTGTGGCTGCAAGCCCTATGCCGAAGCTCTCCTATTTAACGTGCGAAGCACAGGATGATTCAAGTTTAGGTGTGGATGATTAGACAACGTTCTACCACTGAACCATTGACGTGAGGTTAGTTCGCTGGGATTCCGTGTATGCACGAAGCTTAGTCTTTGTATTCCGTGTCAACTAACTGCTTCTAGTCATGAACTAAAGCAGTAGTATCAGATCAGGTTGCATTTATTGTTACACGAAACAACACTCAGCAGTCTGTTTTATCACAAACAACTTATCTAAACGTTATAAAATAATGAACAAACTGATGTGTTTTCTAGGATCATTATACACGCAAATTATGCCTACTTCAACGACAAATATCAAATTACAGAAGACTTACCTTTTTCAGCATTGACTTCAAGATATGCAGGCTTGTAACATTCAACTTCCTCTTGTGGCAGTAGAGTGACTAATAAAGCAGACAAAAGCAATGCCTCCCAATGTTTACAGTGACTAACAAGTTTCTAATTTCCATGGAAAATAATTCTTGAAATATCACCTCAAAGCACATAGCATAATAGAACTGATGCGACCGGGTAGCTATTTAGAGTAAGACGATCACAATTAATTTTTCCTTTTAGTCCATCCTCAACTATTCCCTCTCTTGGGAATTAACCGATACCATTCCCCTTCATTTTGAGTTCAGTGTTATTTAAATCCCACAACACCATAACAAAATATAAAAACTCAAATATCAACCTACGGGCGATCGTGTGCTTAGTATAACACATACATACTGGGTTTAATCCGTGTATCGTCTAACCTAATGTCTATTTTAAAACCCTGTTGTTATTGAAAGAATGAAATTTAAAATATTCAATCAAAACATTGCACGAAAACTCACCGGATATGAAAGCTAATAGGTACCATTTGAAGTGGACAAGCAGTAACATAGCGGAGATACGCCAGCCTATGAAGCGATATATTTAAAATATATATATATATATATGGATATATACATGTATATATATATTGGTCCTAATTAACTGAGGCTTTTGTTTTAGATTTCACAAACTGAAATTTATCGTAAGATGCGTCTAACAGAAAATCATACTATCATCAGATGACTGTGAAATGTGAGATGATCCGATATTCTTCAATGAATAGAATTTCTTTAAATTAAGTTTACTCAGACAAAGGCATAAACTCAGTATCGTATAGTGAATTATTACTATTCAGACTCCTACACAGAGAACATTACCACAATAAGTGAAAAGAATGAGCTCAAAAATGAAAAGAGTTTGCTCACTTGTAGACAATGAATGGTGATTATCGCCACAATCAACTTGCATTCAACTATATTTGTGGCGTGATAATCTGAGCAGTAAGTAGGCTTAGTAAAAACACACAGAGATGAAGAAATTAGGAATAGAGTCTTGAAAAGAAGTTAATTTACCTGAAAAGACCATTACACAAACAGAATGTCAGATTATGTAGTGTATTCACTGGAACTGTAAACTGTAGAATATATACACACATGAAATATGCCTTGGCGTCCTTATGGTTTATCTCACTGTGATATAGTTACTTCAGGCCAAGTCCCTATAAGTGAAAAAAGATGTGTGGATAGTGTGCAGTACTTGAAGAGCGTTCTGCACAGCTGAGCAAATCAAAAAAATTGAATTGGTATATGTTATTTTTCTCCAGTATATATTATTAATATTATCACTGCCCTCTTGAGTTCTGCATGGAAAAACTGGGCTTCAGCAGCACATTTCCTTTTCACTCCACTGAATGCAAGCTTTGCAGCTGGATCCATAATTGTGCATAAGCTTTCATTTCCTTCCTGCACGGACAGCTTGACATCATCTTTGAGCTCAAGCCGAAGTAGTTACATCCTGTTGCCATTCCCACCATCCACCTGTCTGTTACGTAAAGATATTCGGTGGTCTCCTCTGTGTGTGTCTGATCTATGTTTGGTAATTGATTCTTGGATGGTTTATGACGAGTTTCTAGCTAGTTGTCCTTCTCTACAGGCAGTCCGACTCGTAGTATTCAGGGAAGGCAGACGCTGGGGAAATTCTGCAGCAGCCTATCGGCAAATGCTATCTTTGACGCTGCAAGTGTCTATAATATATAGAATTAATGATTTGATATTAGTGTCGAAGACCAGAATTTCATTCCTCACGCTGAGTGTGGCAGATTTCCACTCTGTTCATAGAATACTAAATGTCTGTCTAATGATTTTAACATTGTAGCCTTGACATGCTCACTTGTGCTGTCTGTAGTTAAAACGATGTTTCATATATTGGTTGTATTTTCCCAAAGATGGTTACTGATGTCTGTTGTTGTTATCTGGGTGTTTTCATCACCTCTGCCTTCTCTATATTCGCTCAGATTTCTGTCTTCTCTTCTTCTTCTTCTCCTCCAACTTGTTGATTTCTACCTTATATCTCCACGTTTGTGTGACATTACGGCTTTATCATCCGCGTAGTACACACCTTCCTGTGTCTTCTCGCCAGTCACACGTATACCAACCTTCTGCATGGTCCAATCAACCAGAAGCAGGGACATCAATAGTGATAATTGACAGCCTTGTTTTACCCTTGTATACACTGGGTCAGCCACTAATAATCACATGACATACGATATAACCATATAGCTGTTGACCGACACTTCATGAAGATTCAGAGCATTCAGTAGTGTTGAAGTTGTTCCCGAATCACTTGACGGTCAACGCCGTTGACATCCTTTACGAGGTCGATGAAGTTGAGACAGAGTTTTGACTGCCATGTTATGCCTCGTCAGTTGATGATGTAAAGTCATACAGTTCGATGTGCGTCGGTGGCTCAGTGGTTAGGACTCTCGCGGCCATGCACAAGGTCCGGGGTTCGATCCCCTGCCGACGCACATCTGATATCAATGGTCGGCCTGAGAAATTCGGGCTACGGATATCACAGACTGCAAATTCCATACTTGTACCAAAATTACTGTGTGGAATCAAGCTGTAATCATAAAATACTTTCCCTGAATTGAGGTTGTTTCCGGTGGAGTTTTGCACATAAAGCATATTGTAGCCCCTGTAATATTTGACAGCGTGAACTTAGGAATATTTCACACCAGTTTTCGCGATGGCCTAATTCCCTTGTTCGCTAGTTTGACAAGGTAGACTTCCTTTCAGTCGGTCGGCCCCATCCCTTCTTTCCAAACCTTCTGCCATTGTGGCAGGAGCATATCTGCTCAGATCATTCTGTCAGTTTTCAAAGTTTCTATGGAATTTCACCCCGTCACTTCTCTGTAACTATACGGTGTTCTAGAATTCTGCTTTTGTGAGCTTATTAGTGGTAGGAGTATTCTGCATGGCTAACTGCCTTGCTAAGGGCGTTCACTAGCAAGCGATATTTTTCATCTTCAATTTCAGGGAAGAAGAAGTTAGTTTTTCATATTTTTTCTGTACTTGGAAGTTTCTGTAGCTTCTAGACTGATTTTCTTGGTTGCTTACTGCACGTCCAACCCTCCCTCTTTTATCGAGGCTAGGGTTGACTAATAAACCATAGAAACATTAAACCAGGCGGGGTCGCTACAATTTGTACTCTCGCTGCTTTCATTGCTCACAAGGAAGAGTAAGTGAATGACATCAAACCGATGAAGTCACTGTGTCTATTTAAGCTCGAATGATGCAGAATATCGCCGAGGATCATTAAACTTGGCTTTTCTGATGAATCTTCACTCTCGTGAAGCTCTCGTCGCTGACTTGTAAGAAACATCTGTCAAATAAATTGCCACTCTCTGTTACTTGCCACAGATGTGGAAGAAAATTTCACACTGAATCCATGAAATCACGGATCGCCAATCTGAGAACTGAATCTGACACTTTCAAGAATGTCGACTGTGATTGAAAAATACTACTCAGAGGAAATTTCGTGAAATTCGTCAAAGGTTTCAATACAAAGCACTTCAAAGTTGCTTTCAAAAATTGTCAAATACCCTGGTGAAGAAAGAGTGTGACAGTTTACAGTGGCTCTCATGAAGGCAATGACGATTTGCCCATAGTGTTACAGGATTTCCCAGCAAGTTTGGTATTCGTGCCATTGAACTGGTTCGGTCGTTAAGTTGGCGCATTCGATAACCGGTTTAAACAACACTAACAAGGTGACCGATTTAATGTTATGCTGTCTAGAATCACGTGTCACTTGTAACCACAATATCTAGATGGGTCACTCCATGAAATATGCTTACCGTAGGTTACCAGACAATAAACGGGACTAATAAGTTATTCACAAGGTTGTCAGCAACCGTATATACTATGGATTGACAACGCAGGAAAATAAAACGCAAAAGCGCGTGATGACTGTATATTTCACTGATGTTTAGAATATGGCTAGTCGTACAAAGCGTCTGTGGTGGACCTTTTGCTCTGTTAGCTTATTGACCCAAAATTCAAATAGAAAACAAAATACCAAATCAGTTTAGTTACGGGAAGAATATATTAAAGTTTTGTTACTTGGGTTTCAAAAGATCCAAATTCCACAATAAACGTACTGGATTCCAGAAGTGCTGCGGGAAGACTGCTCCAGTTCTAATTCTCCAGTGTTGACGTTGCCGGAGATCGACCAAAGTGCGTAGGAAGAGGCTACGGTGATCCTGCGAAAATTCGAGATAGAAAGCAGGTTGTTATAATTGATCGACGGCAGTTGAGATGGTGGAGAAGACGGAGAGTTGAAGGCAGAATTATATATTTATTTAAAACTCGAGGGAAGTTCAAAAGTACAGAGTTTTTGGTTAAAACAAGGTAGTGTATAATATGTTCATCTTTTTACATAATAGTAAAATTTGGATAAGTTTATTTTGAGGACTCCACACGTCGCAGTATCAGGCTTGACTCAACGAAATATGGGATTTAGATAATGTCACATAACAAATTGCTTGTTGTATTATAGTACATCCAACTGCTAGTAATGATTATGGTAAATAAGCACTCACCCTATTCGCACGTGAGGCCGCCTATCGATTTCGTACTTTTGAAGCCAAACGTGATGCTTCTGAATGACAGAGTATAAGTGTGCTGCCTACAGATTTCTCTGGCGACGTTGTCCATTGTTTCAAACTGTTGTGTGGTGAAACTAGTAACATGCGTGAATCAGTCCCCTACGCCTTCTAAGTTGCCATGTAAGCAATACAGCATCAGTCGTCTCCTGTTTCGGAATTAATTTATTTCCTCAGGAATCCACACATTGCAAATGGAATTCATGCAGGAAACTGTTACGAATGTCATGGGAACATACAACAACAGTGAGTATCTTTGTTTGCATCAGAAAGACGCCAATTATAGGTTAAACGTAGGCCATTGACTAACAACGAAACCGAACAGTTGTCAAAATGTCACTTTTCACACATACACCTAGTTAGGAATCAGTTTGATATATTCACAGGCTGAAATCAGTTTGTCAGTGTTTCCATTCTCAGCAGCCACAGTGTCCATTTTCTACATTAGTAATGAATAAGCGGGCATAGGATTTAACTCATCAACCTTGTTGAATATGTCGAACTAGAATACCTGACGAAATGGTTAAATACGTGTTTCATATGAAACCTGATTTATGCTCATTGGAAGACAGTGTGTGTGTGTGTGTGTGTGTGTGTGTGAGAAAGAGCTGTGAAATACCTGTTCCATCGGGTACTGACATAGCCGATTTTGCTTTGAGATGCGGTGCGTGTTTGAATGGTGTTTTATATACACTTACAGTTTTACCAACAATCACTCACGTGTAAATGCCTTCATCTGTGCACATATGAATCAGTACAGAAAGAAGATCGGAATGGATTGTCAGTAACTTACTTGCGAAGAATGTTTCATAGTATATGGTGGCGTAGGATATCGGCGTGTCTCCAGCTAAAAGTGATGAAATTATTATGGTTTGAAAGGGTTCTCACTGAAGAATAGACAATGACCTCAAAATTTCTCCACAGAGCATTATTTTATCTTAACCTTCCTTATCACAATGGATTGGATGAAGTGAGTATCAGCAGTGATAGACCAATCTTCATGCTGGAGACATATAGTATGAATGCCATGACGTTGATGCAGCTAAGGCGGCAACGTCTCCTCAATAATAATGATTAAAGCAGTCAATTATCTCCTCAGTGTGCAACAAGTATTTGAGCATAAGCTTTCAATTAGCACTAACCCATTGTTGTGCAATCCTCTAGGGAAATGAATGAGCGACATCCTAATTGATTGGATCGTGCTTCAGAGGCAACAACGATTTTGATTTATGTTGCTCCGGAAAATCCTGCAGAAAGAGTAAATAAGTTGCTATAAAACTCAGTGAGAATCCTCTACTGTGTGCAA